ACAACAATAGTAATCTCTCTATCCCAAATGTATAGTCCACTTGCTTTATCTATTAGTACTTCTTTCATTCTTTCGCTTTTGTAACCCTAGTAAATATGCATTATGCGTAAGTCTCTTCATTCCACTTGCTTTATCTATTAGTACTTCTTTCATTCTTTCGCTTTTGTGACCCTAGTAAATATGCATTATGTATCCAAGTCTCTTCATTTACTAAGGGCAAATCTTGAAAGCATTCTATATATTTGTACTTTTCCAACACACTTCTAATGTTTTGTAAACACCATAAGCTAGTTTATATCTTATTTGGTTACTTATAAACTTTTTGTATACAAATAAACCTAGTTTGGTAGGACGATTTTTTTTAAAAAGGTCGATATCTCGTAAATGGTAGCTTTTCAAATACGTTCGTTAAAATTTTTACTTCAGTTGGCTGGCTTATCAGCTAATTTACCAAACACTTTTATCATATCAGCTAGCTTTCTTTTCAGCCATAAGCAATAAGTTGTCAGCTATAAGCTCGAAATTCACTTATAAGCTATCAACTAACTTATCATCTATGAGCTAGATTATCAGTTAGTTTTACCAATCATAACCTATTAATCTATGTGTTAGATGCATACCCGAATATGAGGAGAATAAACGAGAGCACCCAAAGTACACGTTGGTACGCCTTGAACTTTGGGCTAGCCGAGGATGACGGGTAAGCGGCCGGGTTATATCTCTGGCTAACCCATCCAAATTGTGGGCGCATCAAGAAAACAAAGCCTAGAAGAAAACCCGACAAGAACCCTCCAATGTGTGCGAAATTGTCGACGTGCGGGAGGATTCCAACCGCAAGGTTTATGGCAATAATCACCACAAGCGTCAATAAAGCCGCCACCTAAAAAAAAAAAAAAAAGGGGTATTAACGATAATTGCAAGCCAAGATCTTAATTAACAATCCGTAATATCTTGATTAGAAACTTACCTTGTTAGCGTATATCGACCAATTAGTGATAAGCTCCGAGAGCATTCCTCCCAATAGCCCGAAAAGGGCACCCGAAGCACCGACTGATATATTTGACTGGATAAAAAGAGCCGAAAGCAAACTCCCACCAAATCCCGAGACAAGGTAAAGGAAACCAATGCGCCCTGTAAAAAAGAAAAAGGCATAATTTTTCGGATTTATCAATTAATAGTTGTCGTTATTTGAAAGTCGTTAAATCGATTTATATAGATAAAGTGAGTTCATCACGTACCGAACCCGAATTCCCGCTCTAGCCGAATGCCGATGATTAAGAGGCTGAGCATGTTGGCAAGCAGGTGTAAAACACCACCGTGCAACCACATACAGGTGATTAGGCGCCACCCTTCATGTTTATGTACGACTTTACCCACGTCTAAAGCACCCATCTTCTCTAGCCTAACCGGGAAAAAAAAAAACCGTTGATAGTTAAACTAAAAAGACTTAATTAAGTAACTAACACGGTTACAGATCAAAGTTAGAGTTTTGTGTGATCAAAACCAATTGGCAGATTGAACTCTGCTGCCTCAGTCATTACTGAATAATAAGGTTAAAATTATTATTGTCATAAAGGAATACACTTTAGAAAAAATAAGCCACCCAAAAACGAGTTATTTTCGAGTAAATGTTCTTAAAGCCAAAAGAATGTGATCATTGTCATAAAGGAATAAACTTTAGAAAAAAGAAGCCACCCCAAAACGAGTTAATTTTCAGAGTAAATGTTCTTAAAGCCAAAAAATGTGATCATTGTCATAAAGGAATAAACTTTAGAAAAAAGAAGCCACCAAAAAACGAGTTAATTTTCAGAGCAAATGTTCTTAAAGCCAATAAATGACTGTAAGTATCTAATTTTTTTTTTTGCAAATAAGAACAGAGTATCTAATACAACAAGTATTCAAGAACTAGAATTTTGAGTCGGTTTTGCCAGCTTCCAGACTAAGGAAAACTTGATCAGAGTTGAGGCTCGGCTCGTAGAAGCATTTTCATTTCGGGATTTTGGCTCCGACTAGAAAAGGGCTGAATAAACTTCAACGTTTATAGAATTTATCAAGAGTTATTATCAATTGAAGATTTCTCCAGGTGCTAAACTACATATACAAGACATAGATTCATAAAGAAAAAAATTCTTTCTTTGACTCAATCAAACCATTGAAATAAGAAATCATTATAAATCCAATTCTTGCACATTAACGTGTCTCATAAGTCATAACCACACCTAATTCTCCTTTTCAATAATCCCAATATATCAAACAACCTGCAATACATTTCCAACAAAAATGTATACTATTTCCAGATTTATTTTTTACAGAAAGTTAATTGTCTAATGGTTAGGTTGATCAATCTATCACCAATAGAATTACAATTCATAGAGACCTTCTTAAATCATGATCACAGAAATGAACAAGTCAAGGGCAATAAACAAAATTCAAACTTTTTCAAAGCAGATTAAAGCAAAAAGGAATTAACTTTACCAAAAAAAAGGGGCCAAAGAGAAGAAGAATATTAAAAAGGAGCTCACGCTGTAGAAGAAGGCCCGAGCAGAGGATTTTCCTTAAACGGCTGAAACGAAAGCCTGCCCAAAGACCCAGCAACACAAGAGATCGAATTTTTGGGACAATCATTCACATACATTGTAACAACAAACACCACAACGTTGGCCGCCACGAATAGAGGTATCAGCCACGGGAACCATTTCTTGAAATGCTTCACTTCCCGGTACACGACGGGGCTCGCGGAGGCGGCGGCGGAAGAAGGAGGAGGAGATTCCAGAGACACGGGGTGGATCAAGTTGCTCCCCCGCCTTGAGTGAACTCTGATTGCGATGTCGTCCTGCGTCGCGGCCATCGGAAAATATACACAAGAAAAATATGTGAAAATGAAAATGGACAATAAAAAATTGGTGGATTTTGAGCTTTGTTTATAGGTTGAAGAGGGGAAGAGAGTTTAGAGGGGCGACGGTAGGTGGTGGTGGTTGGGAGGAGGAGGAATTAGGTCAACGGCTTTCAACC